CAATTTACTGATATTCTACAACACTATTTTTTTTCTGAACAACAACAAATACAACAAATTCCCACAAAAATAAGAGGCAGGTTATATTTCGGGGGGCCTACAGTGAACCGGTGTCGTTAAAATACAATTAACGTTTTTTTTTCTCAAAATGGTATAATCAGAGATCTTTTTTATAGATTGCCCGGGGCCGTCCTCGTGGAAAATTTCAATAGTGCTATTTCAGCAATCAGATCTTTATTCCAAGAGGTAATTAACATAACTTTGAATATTTTGAATCAATAATTGGTTATACCTGCCGTAGTTGATGTTGGTTTGAACCACACCCTTTGGGCAAAGTTATGTTATTATCTCCTCGTCAACTCCAGATGTTGCACTTTGACTAAAGCTGCATGAAACATTAATAAACACAGAGACCTATTCCGGTATAACTGTGTAGTGTTTGTATGAATTACGTCTGCGTATTCCTGCAAAATCTTTACATTTTTATTGCACCAAATTTACACTTACTTTTTCAGACTACTAGTGAATCACGGACAAGCTGTAAAGACCGTGACGCACTTAATTAAACCTTAAAGTTTTCACCACCAGACTTTCTCGCCCAATTGTTTTCTGTACTTTTTTTCGTATTCTGTAATATTTCTTGATATGAGCTTTAATTTTAAAGCCAACTGACAAAATTTGAGTGAATTTTCAGTTTTCATCCCAAAAAATTGTATATTTTTGTCGCAATCTTCTGAAGGAAAGTGCATACTATAAACAGGACCGTTTTGTGAATTTGCGACGAAAACTGGTGGTGAATAGTTTATGTTTAAATTAAATATGTTTTTTTAAACAATTAAGAGCTATTTTAGAATTGTATTCTATTTTTACAGTTTTAAAAAAAATCACAGAGCAAGCAATGTAATAAAATATTTAGGTTTTTTCATAAATAGGTGAAATATCCCATCGGATGATAAATCGCCACACGTAGTGAATTCCACGTTTGCCAACACAACTCTTGTCATCGTAGTATGTTTGAAAGTATGTTCTCAATTTATGCAAATTCACTTCCCTGATTGCGACTCAAACCACGATTCTGAATGAAACCCGTAAGCGGCGCATAGATCTAAATATTTCAAAGACCGAAGCCTCGCAGCGAAAATGGAATTCGTGGCAACCTCAACTAAAAATCAAGTGAAATACCTACAAAATCATAGTTTTTCTTCTCATAGGGAAATTAAAGTACTGTAAAGGGGGTAATTATTCACTGTGTTTTAATTTAGCTTATTTCGCTGAATGGAAAAATGCGCTAAATTAAAACACAGTGAATATGTAAAATTTAGCATAGAACACATTATCTAAATGATAAAACCGTGAATTTAAAACCCACTGAATATGCCTGAAATGGTAAATCAGTGAAATTTAAACCCAGTGAAAATTAGTCATTTTACAGTATTGCCGAAGTATTCATTTCATAAGTATTGCTACGTATCATGTTCCCTTGATAAATCATTTGCATAAATCCCACACAAAGTCACCCGTATGAAGGCAGACATTTTTGAAACACAGGTCCGAAATTGAATACATTCAAGCTCTGAGGGTCTCTAAAACTGTATGTCCACCGCTGTTGGGATGAACATTTGTATTATTATACCGAATAAATCTTAAAACAGAAGTTGTGGCACTTCGTGGCAAATTAATCCTCCAGGTCATCCTCGTAGAACTGAAAGAGTTCAAGAACAGTGATTGAATTCTACTGTTATTTTACTTTGAAATTCATGGTTGTATTGATAAACCTAATTTCAACAGCTTCAGCCTGACGAAGAATTGATTTTACAAACTCATCCGGCGCCATCCCGTGGCGTGTGCATCTATACGCTACACTGTGACTGCGTTCCAGCTCGCAATAGAACACTGAAACGAGCTTCACACGAAGCTGCACACAGCTTGAGTATAGGTTATGACAACACCATTCTCTTTCGACAAATACACTTTGCATAATATGTGATATACATACAGTCAAAACCCGCAAAATACGTAACAAAATTCAACAAAACGGTGCCGTCACAAGTAAGTCCACGACTCTCCGGATTTTTAGGTAGACGAACTGCGCAATCACAGATTGAATGTCTCAAAGCGCATAGCTGAGCGCGCTGGTGAAACGCCCCTGAAATGCACGGCAAGCGCGACTAAAAATCACGCGAAATCGTAACAAAATCCTAGTTTTTACTCCAATAAGATAGTCATATAGTGAACGCAAACCTGGCACACTAATCAGTTCATGAATATTGTGGCGTATCGTGTTCCCTTGACAAGTTATTGGCGTAAATCAGATAAATTCAGGAGAAAGATACCCGGATGGAGGTAGACATACGAATATGTCTACCTGCGATGCGCGAATCTGATTGGTTGTCATGGTCATGAGGTATAATAATAGAAAATGTTAAGTAAACATTGAAATACATGTCTAAATGTAATGCGCGCATCTGATTGGCTGTCATAGCTATGAGTATAATAACATAAAATACGCAAATTCAACCAGGGATAATTTGAAATTTTACATAGTGACGTCATACTTAGATTATCATAATCCAACATTGAGCAATTGGATTAAACAAGCTAGCCGACCGACTCAGGTAGTAAGTTATAAACAGCGCCCTCGTGTGCCAATCAAATAGGTCTTCCAAGAGGATCAGCAATCTCTTAAAGCGGGAGGGT